ATTTATATGATTTTTGTTCATATGTGTGTGTGTGTATAAAGAACACAGATTTTATGAGATTTAATGTATTTTATAAATAATTTATATGATTTTTTTCATATATATATATATATATAAACACGGCCAGATTCAGCCGCTTCAAGAACCGAGAGACCATCGCCAGCGTGCGCAGGTCAGCACGCTCTACACACACAGTACACTTATTAATATAGAGACTAGTGCTGTCAAACGATTAATCACATCAAAATAAACATTTTTGGTTGCATGATATATGTATGTGTGCTGTGTGTATTTATTGTACACACATGCATTTATATATTTAAGAAAAATAGGTTATAATTGTATATATTATATATTTATATATAATATAAATTATATAAACATAAATATATACATGTAAATATTTTCAAAATATATTCTGTATGTGTGTGTATTTATATATACAGTACATAATAAATATACACAGTACACACACATATTTTACATTAAAACATTTATTTTGGATGCGATTAATCGCGATAAATTTTTTGACAGCACTAATAATAATACAATAATAATAATAATGTTTTCAATAACAATACAATAATAAGAATTCTTTCTTTAGCAGCATATTAGAATGATTTCTAAAGGATCATGTGACAATGAAGACTGGCGTAATGATGCTGAAAATTCAGCTTTTTGCATTACAGGTATAAATTACATTTTAAAATATATTCAAACAGAAAACACAAACAACATTAGTGTTGTACTGTATTTTTGTTCAAATAAAAGCATCCTTGCAGAGCATAAGAGACTTCTTTCAAAAAAAAAAACAAAAAAAAAAGAAGAAGATATTTACTGCCATAGATGGTTCATTTGTATTAAATATATATATATAAACACTGTATATACATATATATATATATATATGTATATATATATTTCATATACAGTATATATGTGTGTGTGTGCGTACTACCATTCAAAAGCTCAAAAGTAACATTTCAGAATTTTTTTTTAATATTATTATTCAGCAAGGATGCAATAAATTGACCGAAAAAACAAACAAACCAAAAACAAACATTCGCATTGTAAGATATTTGTTTCAAATAAATAGTGTTCTTTTCATTTTAACTTTCTATTGATTGTACAATCTAAATTGAAAATAAAATGAAAAAATGAAGTAGCACAACTGTTTTCAATAAGAAAATTCAGCTTTTTGCATTACAGGTATAAATTACATTTTAAAATATATTCAAACAGAAAACACAAACAACATTAGTGTTGTACTGTATTTTTGTTCAAATAAAAGCATCCTTGCAGAGCATAAGAGACTTCTTTCAAAAAAAAAAACAAAAAAAAAAGAAGAAGATATTTACTGCCATAGATGGTTCATTTGTATTAACTTGTATTATGAAGAAAATGATGTTTCTGACACATGAACTCATGTTATTTGCAACATCTTAACCTCCACATGAAACTCTCTGTCTGTCTGAAATAATGATTTACTACTTGGCTTCTACAACCATAGAGAAAATTTTAATTGCTGTAAGGGTCTTTCCAGCACCTGGCAGCCTCAAAAACAGCATTACCACTGACCATTAGGAATAAAAAAGTGAGACTGGGCTCTCATTTCAAAACAAAACACAGTACAGTTGGCACGACCCATGCTAGTCACCTGCCATCTCCACTCCACTCCACCCCCGCACCAGCCAACCGCAGCGATCTGAATCTGTTTGTGTGTGGAATCGAAACAAGGCCGATGGGTCAACAACACAAAAAAGCCTCAGCAAAATCAGTAATGCAATCCACTACTAAGCCAAATTACAGGCTTAACCATTTAACCAAAAATGATCTCTAATTTTATCGATGGAAGGCTTTCTGCTTATTTTATTGCTAGCAAAAGAGAAGACTGTGGAGAAGTAAATCATGACAATCTGGGAAGATATGATAATACTGTGCCTCAGATAATTAATTACTCTTTCTTCAGGCTCACATAAAACACACCAGAATCATTTCAGGTTGTGATAAAGACAAATTGGATATCTAATGAACATAACACAACCTATTTGAAGATTAAGAATAAAGAAGATGAAAGACTACCGTATCTTGAAAAGCAGCAGGCAAAGAGAATAATAGACCATGGATCAACGTGAGCTCAACTTGTCTGAAAAACATTTGGTGGATTAGTTTCAGCGTTTAGCTATGCAGCTGTTTCTCCAGCATGTCTTCAGTGTCTCGTCAACAAATGTACTGTCAAATACACTACCAATCAACTGTTTGAGGTCAGTAAGATTATTATAATGTTTTAAATGAATACTTATATTTAACAAGGACACATTCAAAAGACTGAAAATACATTTATAATGTTACAAACATTTTATTCTATTTCAAAAATGAATGCTTCTTTTGAACTTTCTATTAGACTTTTGATAAAAATGTTCGTTTGAACTTTCTAACTTTCGAAAAACAAGTTTGAAAATCATGTTTTCCACCAAAATATTAAGCAGCACAACTATTTTTAACAGTGATAGAAATAAGAAATGTTCCTTGAGCAGCAAACTGAACACTGAAGACCTAAGTAATGACGCTGAAAATTCAGCTTTGCCTTAACAGAAACAAATTATTTTAAAATATATTCAAATAGAAAATATTTAGTTTAAATTGTAATAATATTTCACAGTATTACTGCTTTACTGTATTTTTTATTTAATCTTACCAGCCCTTTGATTGGTACTGTATGTCAACAACATTATGTATTGTCGAAAATATTACAAAAAAAACCCCACTGGAAAACATGTGTGTGTGTGTGTGTGTGTACTAATAAATAGCCAATATGCTAGTAATATGCATGCTAAAATGAGAATTAATCCCTAAACTAAAGTGTTACCAAATGTGTTTGTCAGCTAAAATTAGATAAAAATGAGCAAATATGAAGATATTGACTCTATTTAAAGGATATTTTTGTCAAAAGGCAACACTTATGACTAAAACAAAAAGCTCTGCAAAAATAAGCACTGAATGTTTAAAAGCAGCCATTTATTCTTGGTGCTAACTGCTAATCTATAGCTCTTGACTCTTCATTTAATGCAAATTCAGCTATGGTTATGCTAAGCTCATATTCTGTACAGAATCCAGATCACACAACCTTGCAGGAGCAGAATAAAAGGAATAATTGAGCACAATTAGATTCCCCAGTCCCACAGTGAATGCGCAAGCATGCTGCATCTCTGAAATCATTTTAATCTGTCTGTCTTCTGCTTATTAAAGTCACTGAACACCATTGTGCTAACACAAATTCCTGTATATACAGTCAATTTATGCAAAACGTTCTCACAAGGCAATTTTTGCCTCTCTGTGTTTTAACAAACAACGAAATTGTTCTAAAATAGTCGAGAGCACATAAACTCCTGACCTCAAAAGGAGAGGTTTATTCAGAGAATATTTGTGAATTATTCAGAGGACATGAAAGTCTAAAAGATTCTAGCTGTGGGTGAATCTTTCAACTTCAACTTCAGCAGGGAATCTTTACAGAGAGGACAGTGTAAGCTCTGGCATGAGGAAAAGAGAGACAATACAGAACAGAGGAGAGGGAAAAGAGAGTGTGCACCTGAAAGCGTGTTATAAGACAGGAAAGAATAGAAAAAAAGAGTGAGAGGTACAGTTAAAAGCCACGATCTTTGAAAAAACGGCTGTAAGAGACCAAAAGAAAAGCATATTTGAATCCATGAAAGGCTAGTTGTGAACTGCCAAGGGTGAGCCTTGTGAAATTCAGTCCACACGGCTAGTTCTACTGTCTATCACAATGTGGAGCTTTGTATTACTCCTCTGTGCTCTTTTCTACCTCTGTACAGAGGGTTTAAAACATGGTTGAAAGGATGGGAAAGATAAACTGTGCCAAATTTCAGGGAAAAGCACCAGCATGGTGTTTATTCAAAAGCGCTGCTTCTCATCAGGAGGTGACAGCAGCGGGGTGATAATCTGAGCCGCTGTCGTCACTCACGATAACTGCGGACATGACGAGGAGACAGAAAGACTCCACGAGAAGCTGTTGTGAGTACATGGGGAGTTCATGCAGACACTTTTAGACAAAGTGAAAGATTGACTGAGGTGAAATGCAGGTGACGTGGTAAAACAGACAAGAGTTTTAGGCAATGCAACAGTGCTGAGCTACATTAAAAATATGTTTTATTTTATATTTAATGCAAAAAAGATTTTCCAAAATCTGGCAAAATGTGTGTTTGAATATAGTTTAACACCTTGATTTATAATTCAGTTATTTTCAAGCAAAAAATATTATATTAATATTAAATAAACAAGACATAAAATATACAAAATAAATAAATAATGAATTAATATTATTAATAATATTAGTATCATTATAAAGATATAATAATAATAATAATAATATTGACTGGGTAACACGATTGCCAGTAATAGTAGGTATATGGGAGTAAAAATTTATGTTTGACTTTTTTTTTTTTTTTTTACAGTAACTTTGGTCACATGTTAAATTTACAATTTTTTAAAAGAAAAATGACACAGAAATGAATGATTAAAATTAACCTGAATTATTACAATTAAAATTACAATAATTAAAATGAATTAAAATGTCACAATTTTCTACAGCAACTGGTCGTGCAATATGTGAAACACTGCAAAACATGTTTTCAGTCAATAAAAAATGTACAATAGTTAATATAAAATAATGCAGCATCTTACATATTTAATGATCATATCTAATAGTTCTCGTTCCAAATTTGTGCCTTTACTTTTTCAGAAAAAGTAAAGTAATAAGACACCATATTGTACTCTATCAGTGGACAGTGGCAGGTATGAAATATCAAAATATATATTTTTTCATATTTAATATTTTTTATATTTTAATATTTGTTAATTATAATTTTTTTTGTTAATTATTAATATTTTTAACATCCATTTACATATAATTTATATAGATTAATTTAGATTTATTTGCATGCAAGTTGTGAGTGTGCATGTGCGTGTGTGTGTGTACAGACCCAGGCCTTTGGGTGTGATGCCGCTGGTGTGGTCAGGATTCACAGCCCAGTAATAATACTTCAGTATGTGCATGATCTGCAGCACAGTCCCGACTCGACGGATGGTGTTGTATATGGTTGCCGTGCCAATAAACTCTGCGGAAAGGTACGTGTACAGCGAGAGCTGCACCTGAACAACAGAAACACACACACACACACATAGTTACAAAAGGTTACAGCTGCCTCAGGTAAGAATACAAAACACTGATGATTACTTTCCATCGTCTGTCTGTTGTTTCTAAACTGCATCCCAAGATCCCTCATTAAAATTCTTTTCTTGTTGGATTTCTATGGGAGCGACACCTCTGGCATGGCAGAACAGCAGATACGGTGAGTATTTTTGGGTGAAGCTGAAAGTCAAAAGGTGTTGTTTGTTTGTGAGCAGCAGGTCAGGCCTGACTAGTGACGGTGCTGCAGGAAAACCTTGGAGGACAAAAAATGCTGATGAAGGTACATAACTCATCCAATTACAGGCCACTCCAGCAGGCAGACTGGGCTCTCCGGTGAGGACAGCCAGAGATGATGGGAAGGAACGGAGGGAGGATAAAAAACATGATGCAAGTCCATGAACTCTTCTGGCCTGAGGAGAGAACACTGCTGCTGCTGCTTGTGCTGCTCAGTTCATTATCCACAACTACTCTCACACTCCCCCCGTCTCTCTCCTTCTTTCTTTCACTTCCTCTCTCTCCTTTTCATGTCTCCTCCTGTTTTTCTTCTTTTTTAGCCATGTTTTCCCTTTTTCTCTTTCTTTCATCTAGTCATGATTTTTCCGCTTTACTTTTATGTTCTTCCCTTTTTCTTTTGAGATTCTCTTACTTTTCCCATTTTCTGACTTTTGTCCATCCTGCCTTCTTTTTTCCTTCTTTCTTGTTGGTCCTCATTTCTTTTCTTTCATTCTTTTTTCCCTTTCTATATGTCTCCCTTTCACCATCCATATATCCATTTTTCCTTTCTGTTTCCCTTTTTTCCCTTTTTATTTGCTTCCTTCTGGCTCCTTTCCTGTTTTGCTTTTTCTTTCTTTCTTTGCAATGCATTCATATAGCTGTTGATTTTTCTCCTTCCTTCTCTTATCTTCATCACTTTTGCTTGCCTTTCCCTCTTCCCTTTATCTGTTCAGTTATCTTTTTTTTTACCATTTTATTCCCTTCATTTGTCATTCTCTTACTTTCCCCTTTTCTGATTTTGTCCTTTTTTTCTTCCTCACTTTTCTTTCATTTTCTTTTTTCCCTTTCTATATTTCTTCTTCCTTCCATCATCCATATATCCATTTTTCCTTTCTACCTCACTTTTGTCCCTTCCCTTTCCCTCACCTACCTACCTTCCTTCCTCCCTCCCTCCCTCCCTCCCTCACTCACTCACTCACTCACTCACTCACTCACTCACTCACACACAC